GAGATATTAGGCTAGGCTGCCCTCTGGAGGTTTATCTATACACAATTTGAATATACGGAAATGTTAAAAGGTGGGCAAAAGTTGATTTTGAGTAGATACTCAAGGGAAAGCGCACAGATCACGGTGTCCAGCATTCTACTAATTCTTCCATTAAGCCTGAAACTAATATTGTTGTCCATCCTTAAAGCGAACACTTCCATTTTCATAGAAGGAGAAATAGAAATGCCAGACTGAGGGGAACAACTGGACAATATCTTAGGAGGTGCAGCTACAGCCAATTCCTAGTGAACCTAACACGCTTGGAAAGGGCATGGCAACCGGTTGGCAGAGCTCAAATGTTTCATTATTCTTTTATCCATGTAGAGGGGGGGAAAGCTGGCATCAAGGCTTTGCAGCTGGATTTCAAGCTCCTCTTCTTTAGCAACTTTAGCAACAAACTTTTCTCAGCCTGGTGCCATCTAAATTTGTTTGATACAGAAAACAGATTACTGGCATTTTTTTCCCCATGCCGGCTACAAAGTACCCCGTTGATCAGGAAGAACCATCCACGGCTGTAGCAATATTCCAAATCAAGGAGCTCAGCATAATTCAGAAGCTTACACGATAATAAACCCAGAGGCTCTATAAGAGGCTGCAGTTACCTGCAAGGCACAGGGCTTTGCTGCCACATCAGTGCAGTGTTTCTCAACCTTGACAATTTTAAGGCATGTGGACTTCAACTCCCAGAATTCCAGCCAGCAATGATGGCTGTGGAATTCTGGGAGTTGAAGTCCACATGCCTTAAAATTGTCAAGGTTGACAAACACTGGGTTAAGGAATGAGCAGAACAGTGCAACAGCTTCCCCAGGTCAAATTAGTTATCAGGCAAAATGAAAAAAAGCAAGCAGAGGCTTCTGAGCACCAGTTCACTTGCCCAGTTTAAGATTTTTTAAAGTTTTTACAATTTAAGATTGCAAAAAAACCCCCAGTGATAGAAATACCAAACTGATTCTCGTTACCCAGAGTCTGTCTGTATCACTACTATTACTGTAAAGAGCATTGTTTCCCAAGCTTTAACATGGGTGGCCTTCAACTCCCAGAATTCCTCAGCCAACAAGGTTAGCTAGGGAATAATGGGAGATGAGGTCCATTCATCTTAAATACTGCTGTAAAGCATGAAAGTTCGAAAAATAACTACTTCTTAAGGTTCAATCCTCCTCACTCCTCTAACCCTAACAAGAGTTTCCACTGGCGCAGATTCTGCTCCGCAGGGAAACACATGACTCCCAGCGTAAACAGGACTCAACTGTTTTGTCTGCCCTTTTCCCTGCCTAAAATTTAATCGGCTCCAGATATTGGAGCAGGGGTAGGCAACCTTGGCTCTTTTATGACTCGTGGACTTCAACTCCCAGAATTCCTGAGCCAGCATGGCTCAGCTTGGAAGCCTCTCCCTTTCCCCTCAGCATGGCTGGCTCAGGAATTCTGGGAGTTGAAGGCCACGAGTCATGAAAGAGCCAAGGTTGCCTACCCCTGTAATTGGAGTTTAACTCCGAGAATTCTCTGCACCGGCTATGGGGAAAGTTGCCTTAAACTTCACTTCTTTGCGGACAGGCCCAGCTTTCAAACCTTTACTACAGTTGTAAAACAGAATGTGAAGACAGAACATGCTGTCGGTGAAGACAGAGGTGCTTGCTTCTTCTTCGGCTGCCCTGTTTTACAGGTGACGCCGTGCAATTCTACGGACACATGCTTGCAAAACAACGGACGTCTGTGATGTGCTCCACTGCCATTTGCCAGGAGAAAAAGCACCGCCAGGCAACTGGAACAAGGTGCATTTTGATAATTAGAACTGAAGGAGGAGTCAGAAAGCTGCAGAGCCGAGAGAGGCTCTATCCTCTCTCTATTCTCTCTTCTTCTCTCTCCAGTGAATCACTCTATACCTGGATGCAGAGAGTCAGCAAAGTCATTGCCTGCCAACCCTTGCTTTTCTGCCTCCACTGGAGCAGAATCAGAATCACAAAGAGATCACGGCTAATTGATAGGCACGTACTCTGGCAGGCTCAGTCCCCAGAGCCTCTGGTTCAAAAGAATGATTGGAAGTGGACTCTCTTAAAGCTGTTGCCACTGAGAACAGACCACATCCTCTCTTCTACTGCAGTCATTTTTCCTCCCAACGTATCCTCTCATTTTTTTTTTTTAAAAAAAAGGTACAGTGTTGTAAAGAATGAAATGGGTTCTAGTGTCTTAGCAGCTCAGGCTACACCGTCTTTAACCCTTGTAAGAAATGATCCCATTTTCCCATTTAAGGGTCCCCAGGGGAAGAGAGACTGCCATGCCAGCAGCTCTGCGTGCTTGACATTTGCTTGTGCGGCAATCACAGAGTCAGATCGCCCACAGAGTATTCTTGGAAGAAAAAAGGACGGAGGTCCCTGGCGAGCGATTAACCCCATGGTGAGGTTACGGCCATAAAAAAGGACAGAAAGACTCTTAGCCTGATAGGATTACAATGCCAAGCAGAAAGTGAGCCAATAAATCAGGTTCACTCAGGGCAAGATCCCTGTGTGCCACTTGCCGCCCAACAGGAGCACCACACACTTGCATTTCCTCAGCGCAGGAAGCCTCCCAGATGGAGCCTGCCAAGCCCTTTGGTGAAATGAGGGACCATCTCAAAGGAATACCGGTATCAGAATCACCCAGGCAGATTTAGCTTTCTGAGATCCAAAAACTCAACACTACCTGTTCCCAAACAGTAACACATCTGCAACAGAGTTGCCACAGAGAAGAGGGAGTCAAGCTAATCCCCAAAGCACCTGAAGGCAGGACAAGAAGCAATAGATGGAAACTAACCAAAGAGAGAAGCAACCTAGAACTAAGGAGAAATTTCCTGACAGCTAGAACAATAAACCAGTGGAGCAACCTGCCTCCAGAAGCGGTAAATGCTCCAACATTGGAAGTTTTTAAGAAGAGACTGGACAGCCATTTGTCTGAAATGGTATAGGGTTTCCTGCCTGAGCAGGGGGTTGGACTAGAACAGGAGTCCTCAACCCCAGGTCCGTGGACTGGCACCGGGCCACAGCATGCCAGAAACCAGTCCGTGCAAACAAGCAAAGCTCCATCCGTGGGATGGAGACAGTACACGAAACCAGGCCCCCTCCGGTTCGCAGAAAAACATCTCTCCACAAAACTGGTCCCTGGTGCCCAAAAGGTTGGAGATCTCTGGACTAGAAGAACTCCAAGGTCCCTTACAACAACAACAACAACAACAACAGAGGCATAATTAACAGCGACAAATCCATGCATATGCATTTTTTTAACTAATTTTAAAAAGCTCATCCAGCCCTGAAATATAGCGATGGAGTGCTTGCCCACCAGTAGATTAAATATTTCAAAAACCTGGCTAAACCTCTATGGCAGGGGTGGGCAACCTTGGCTCTTTTATGACTCTTTTATGACTCGTGGACCTCAACTCCCAGAATTCCTGAGCCAGCAGTACTGGCTCAGGAATTCTGGGAGTTGAAGTCCACGAGTCATAAAAGAGCCAAGGTTGCCTACCCCTGCTCTATGGAGATTCTCAGTCATCCAGGTCAGGGTTGTCCCAACGGTGCTTTTTCAAAAGGCAACTGCACTTTGTTTTTCCTTGAAGACGTTTCGCTTGTCATCCAAGAAGCTTCTTCAGTTCTGACTGCAGAAATGCAAATGTGATGCTCCTACTGGGCAGCAAGTGGCATACAGGGATCTTGCCCTGAGTGAGCCTAAAGTCAGAACTGAAGAAGCTTCTTGGATGAGAAGCAAAATGGCTGCAAGGAAAAACAAAGTCCAGTCGCCTTTTGAAACACCACCTTTGGGAGCCTGGCTAGATCTGAGCAAGTCTACCATAGTGAAGTCCCTAATGTATAAGTGAACTGCAACAGTATTAAATGTATAATATAGTGTGACTTCAACAATCATAATAAAAAGTAACCAATTATAAACAAAACAGTTCCAAAAGTATGTGACCCTATTGTTCAAAGGTTATACAGAATTTACTTATACATATAAGTAAACATATACATTTGTGTGTGTGCAAATGTATATACACATATGCTGAATTTACATACACTTGTTCAAAAACAAAAATACTTCAAGCAACCACATCCAAAACTGTACGTGAGCCTTTGGTTAATTTATCATTTATGTAAACTATATTCACGTTTTCTGTATCAAAGCCTTTCCTATTTCCCCAGTTCTTATCTTGTTCCATAAAGCACAACATGAAAATTAAAAGCAATAATCTCTAGATATTTTGGTGTGTGGCATCCATCTACCACACTTCCAGCATGTAATGAGCTAGTTAATGAATGGAAATGCTTGAGCGAACTGCCTCTACTCATTAAAACACATTTTTAATGTTTGTTATATCCATATATTGTCAGGCTGCCATTTCATACAAGATTCCAATCTCAAGAGAAAAAGGGACAAAGTATGTAACTGTGTTGTATTTGCACCATATATTTGAACATGGAGAATTTCTTCACATTTTTATCTAAAAAGGCTTTGCTTTTCCCTTTCATTTTTTTGATAGCCATTAGGGATGACAAATACCATGGGTCTCCAGATCCTGCTATGACACTCGTCAGTCCACAGGTCAAATACAGCATCAGATGATCACTGTGACCGGAAACTTACAATAGCTCCGTTTCCAGAAAGCAAGAATTAGGGCCAACCTACTAATCACTAAGCATTTAGACAAGTGAAAAAAACTACATAATATGTCCTTTGGAATATCTGAGTCGATGCCCCAATTAAAGCTATCTATTTGCGATGCATGCTTTTTTCTTCATTTTTAAATCGATTTGTGCAGTGTTCCATCCTAGATTGCTCCTAGAGGAACAGTAGAATCTTATTATTAAAAACTAAATAATAACATAATAAAGAGATGGTTGCAGCAGTATTAAAAATGGGGTGATGCTCATGTTATATGACCAAACCACGCAGGCTCCTGTCTTTCTTCTATTTCCGTTCTCAGGATCTCACAGTCATACCTTTTTCAGTTTGTCATTCTCCTCCATATATTTCTTGGCAGCGTCGCTTGCTCCTTCGGCCTGCTTCTTGAAGGCTTCATTAGAGGCCAGGATGGTAGCATGCTGAGAAATTAGGGTAATCAGTCGTCTCAGCAGGCTGTAAAGATAAAGCAACCGATTAAACCAGGGGTTCTTAAATTGACTTGACACAACGGAGAAGAAATAATATCAGATCCATTTTGAACCTTTTCCTAAACACGCAATTGTTATGCGAGTTATAGGACTACCTGCTTATTGCAAAATCAAAATGACAATTCTCAATAGATCCTTGAATTGTCTGAAGGTATAGCCTGGACTCTTGCGTGCTGCTTGGAACTAAGTCAATGATTCTTTAGAGTTTTGCTAGACATAAAGAGGTCCGGCTGGTCTAAGTGATGAGATAATGAATTCAAACCTCAGCTTAGTCAACCTGCTCGGAAAGCTGTTGCCTTGACTGCCAATTTCCAACACTGAAGCATTTCTCGAGACAGGCACTGTATTGAAAAAAACAGGAAATGAGGAGCAAGACTTGCCTCGATCCACATCATATAATTTTAGATCTGAATTCAGTGCTGTATCCTGGAAGTGTACATTATCCACAGTCAGAATAAAATGTGCACACTGCATATATAAATAAGACAAGAGAGCTTCCTGGGCATATTTCTGGAAGGGAATGGAGGACAAAACAAAATAATACAGGAAATGACAAGTACCACACTCCAGGAATCACTAGAAAGGGCTTCTGAGAATTTGATTCCTGTCCACTAAGCAGAACAGAGCAGCAGGTAATTCCCACTAGGGACCATATTTCCCAAGCTTATGTGATAAGCTTGCATGGCACTGGACCTGGCTTCATGATAGTCAGCTCTCACCACCCTTAGCCTACAGTGAACAACACTGACACTCTCTCTCCCTCCTTCCCAGACCTATCTGGAGAGATCAGGAATTGAGACTTTGAGACCAAGCAGGTGCTCTTCCCCCAGACTACATATTGCTCTTCTCCCTTAATGGCGTACAGGTGAGAACCAGAGACATGTTTGTACCCAATCCAATCAATCAAATCTGAGAAAGAATTGAACAGCAAAGATCTTTTAACCCTCACTGTGCTAAAGGGTAACCCTGATCAATAGACTAAGGCAGGGGTCTTCAAACTTGGCCCTTTTATGACTTGTGGACTTCAACTCCCAGAATTCCTCAGCCAGCGTGCCTGGCTGAGGAATTCTGGGAGTTGAAGTCCACAAGTCATAAAAGGGCCAGGTTTGAAGACCCTTGGACTAAAGTAATGGGAAGTCTCAACCAAACATTATTTCAAGAAAGGACAACACCAAACTGGTGCAGGAGCAACTCTATGGGACCAAGGCTACCAGTTATTCACACTTTGCTTACATTGATACAGTTGCCGATCAGAGTCTCATCCAAGGAATCTGAGAAGCCTCCCAGTTTTGGCAAGTCCAAACTCAATAGGCAACTTCTCTGATCTTCCCAGCAGTTAGATTGCTGTCGTAGTTCTTCCCCTTTAATCAGGAGTTACTTCCAGCTGTAAAATTCATTTCATCCAAGGAATACACAGTGGTATGCATGGTTTTTGCCACTCTCCACATATTTTATCCTCACAAAACCCCTGAAAAGTAAATTATGTTGAGAGATAGTGACTGTGATGAGCTTTATGGCTGAGTAGGGATTTGAACCTCAGAAAGAACAAAGTCCTCTAGCTGAAAAACAAGAAGAAATGCAACAAAAATAATCGAGCACCTAGAACAGCAGAACAGAATAAGGTTGCCTGCATTGAAGATTGTAACACAAAAACAACTAGCACAAGCATTAAAAGATGCCACTACTGTAATATGAAAGATAAGTACCAGCTCATTGCAAGAACCAAAGCAACTGATGTACAGCACAGCTGCAGTTATTAACTGAAGATTTTATATGCAAAATTAACAAACAAGAAAAAGGCCAAACAGTGTACCAACAAAATGGAAGATCAAACTGGCAAATAAGATCAGCATGCTAAGATCAGATGTAAGCAAACTAGAACAGATAAAAGAAGACCAAACATATCTGATCAAGACATATCGCTTAAAGACAAAGATGATCAAGGAAGCCCTGGAAATAATAAACCAGCAAATAACAGCTATAGCCAAGAAAGTTGACAGATATGAAGCTCCAATTATGCATTATAGGCAGACGATGTACTGAAGATGGTATATCATGAACACTTACTGACTACCAAAGTGATCAAACTGGCCTATAAGACCAAATGAAGAAAAAGAGACATGGAATGGCAGAAATATTACATGGCCAGTACATAAAAAACTACCAGGCAAAGCATATAACAATAAGACCTGGCAATGGCTAAGAGTAGGAAAACTGGGAAAAAAAGAACAGAGGGGCTAATTCTGGCTGCACAAGACCAAATCTTATAAAACCAGAATTGAGAAGACCACAACAGGCAGCAAATGCCACCTCTGCAAAGGACCTGAAGGAACAGTGGGCCACCTACTTAGCTGGTGCAGGAAGATCACACAGACTAATTATAAACAGGGCCATGACAAAGTAGCAACAATGGTGCATTAGAATATGTGCAAGAAATACCTCTTGCCTGCAAGCAAAAACTGGCAGGACCATAAAACAGATAAAGAAATAGAAAATAAAGACACTAAAGTGCTCTGGGACTTTAGAATTCAAACAGACATGCAACTGCCACACAACATCCCAAACTTAACAACTGTTGATAAGTTGATAAGAAGTTTGGACAGCACACACTGCAATACTGGAAACAGCAGACTAGAAGAGAAAAAACTGGAGAAAATCCACAAGTATAAAGACCAGTAAATTTAAGTAGTTCGATGGTGGCAAAAGAAACCAAAGATAGTACCAATAAGAATAGGGTGAAATTCTTGGGGTATCACTTCAACAACATCAGCATGGACAAAATCACCATCACTCTGGTTCCTGTGGGGTTTTTTTTTTGTTCTAAATGTTGCTTTATCTTTGGACTGTAAGCCGTCCATTAAGATGGGTGGCTATACAAATGTTTTGAAGGAATGAATAAAAATAGATGCCACATGTAGGCCCAACCAGCCAAGACAGATGGTGCCAAGCGAGCAGCACAACACTCACACTCTGATTTTAGAACAGCTTCTCTCCAAGAAAGGAGGGGGAGGACAGGCCTTTTGATGGTCCCGTGGACTCATGAAAAGGCTAAGTGTAAAAAACAGGCAAAATGAATTCGGATTAGGCCAAGAATCCTGTTGTCCCTCTATAATTATTCTGAAGAGATCTGACACTTCCCCTTGCAACAATACGAGATTGGTACAGAGCAGAGAAGCCATGTCCAGTCTAACAGCTGGTGTAAAGACGAAAAAGTTTGCATCTTTGACCAGAAAGACAGCAAGGAGATGGAATTCATAGCTAGCACTTCCCTTTCTCCCCCATCCCAATTGCATAATCTGGAAGATCCTCTTTGAATGCAACTGCTTGCATTCAGCACTGCATTCAGGCTGATTTACATGCCACAGGCATTGTTAGCAACCTTCTTAATGGTCTCTCCAAGCCAAAAGCAGCTGCTAATTAAGAGTTGGACAGGCAACTTCCCAAGTGGACACAGGGATTTTAAAAAACACAATTTCCTGGTTCACTTGGGTTATGAACAGCAGCTATCACGGTAGCAAGGCCGCAAGAGCATGAATGGCAAATGTTGTTGCTTTTCCGAAACAAGGGTGGTGGTGAAGAAAACTCTTTGATGATTTGAAATCTCATTTACACAATACTTCTTGTCAAAGGCAGCAATCTCTATAAATTGACTAGACCAGGGGTAGGCAACCTTGGCTCTTTTATGACTCGTGGACTTCAACTCCCAGAATTCCTGAGCCAGCCATGCTGAGGGGAAAGGGAGAGGCTTCCAAGCTGAGCCATGCTGGCTCAGGAATTCTGGGAGTTGAAGTCCACGAGTCATAAAAGAGCCAAGGCTGCCTACCCCTGGACTAGACCCAAGCCTAAGAAGGTGCTATCGGTACTCCAAATCACCTCATCACATATATGCAATGTTAGGGTTACTACTACCAAGAGAAAGCATTCAATATGCTGGCTGATTCAGCTCAGAATTCCGGTTTGAAAGACTAAAGGAATCCTGGAAGAGCCTGCCTTTCTTTCAGAGAGAGAGGAAGAGAGAGATGTGGTGCTCTAGTCTGCCACCTTGTGGCTTAATGGCAAAACTTCCACAGTTATTTCATGCCAAGAACGGCAATTAACGAACCGGCAGACAGAAACATAGCAGGGTTTGATTGCAGATGTCTTCCAGGTAAGGTCACAATGAGGAGTTACCATCTGCTCTCTTCCCCTACCAGGACAATGTGGCATGGCGTCTACTGTTATGCAACGGTCGTGTTTTTGTCATTCTGCACAACGTAGCCTTTGAACAGTATGACGGGGATACTTCAACTAGCACCGGATTAAACGTAGATAAGATAACCTTTATTGTCATGTTTTATTGTGGGCACACTGGCACACGTTAAAAATGGAATTCTATTGCTTGCTCTCAAAAGTATACACATACACAACACATATATTTGTTGTTGTTAGTTGCGAAGTCGTGTCCGACCCATCGCGACCCCATGGACAACGTTCCTCCAGGCCTTCTTGTCCTCTACCATATTCTGGAGTCCATTTAAGCTCACGCCTACTGCTTCAGTGACTCCATCCAGCCACCTCATTCTCTGTCGTCCCCTTACATATGTATATACCTACACCCTTACATATAAATAAGTATAAATATTAATCACTGTCCATGTTGAATACATACAGTAGCTGAAAGGGGAAATTTGAGAGTTCACGTGGTTGATACTATATGGAACAAAACTGTGACTGAATCTGGATATTCTGCTTCGGACACCATGGAGTCTCCTCCCAGAAGGTAACAAGGAAAACAGGTCATGAAGAGGATGTGTAGTGTCCCAGACAAGCCTGCGGACCTTGTTCAAGCAACCCTTATGTGCTATGTCCTGGATTGAAGGGAGTGAACTGCCAATAATCTTTTCTGCCAGCCTCACCCCTCTCTGCACCGCCTTCCTGTCTGAAGCAGTGATGCTTCTAAACCAGACAGTAATGCAATATGACAGGATGCTCTCGATCGTCCCTCTATAGAAAGGGAAAAGAACAGGTACTTTTCTCATGCGACGCAGAAAATGCAGGCGCTGCTGTGCCCGCTTCACCAGTGTCCTGCTGTTGAGCGACCAAACATAAATATGGCAATTCCATTCACTTTTAATTTTAAATAGTAGTGTTTCTAATGCTTCCCAATCTAGCATACTAAAAAAAGATCCAATAGTAGCTTCTTAAAGCTTTTGTGCCTACACCCAAGGTTTTCAGACTACATGCTAAAGAACTCCAGAAAAAAATAACTATGCACAGGTAGCCCTCAACTTATGACCTCAGTGGGGACCAGAACGTCTGTCACTAAGCAAGGCAGTTAAGTGAGCACCCATTTTAATGATCTTTTTTGCTATAGTTGTTAGGCGAATCACCGCGGTCATTAAGCAAATCATGCAGTCATTAAGAGAATCCGTCTTCCCACATTAACTTTGTCAGAAGCTGACTGGGAAGGTCACAAAGGGCAACCCACGTGCCCCGGGGAAGCCACCGTTGTAAATAGGTATCACATACCAACTGCCCAAATTTTGATCACATGACCACGGAGATGCTGCAACAGTCGTTAAGTGAAGGGTGGGAGGTCGCTTTTTCAGGGCCACTGTAATTTCAAAACAGTCACTAAACAAATCATCATAAGTCAAGGACTATCTGTATGGATCCATTTGCCTCTGGTTTATTTTTCATGCAATCTAAATACGCACCAATACTGGAAATTCATCTGAACTAAAAAAAAAAGTACAATTCCAGGACTAGGTGCGTTAATTATTGCAATACTTCCAAAAAAGAATGATAAAGGGAGATAGCGTAATATTAAAATTAAAAGTTATAGGAAAGTCTTTTCATGATTGGCAGCAGGCTTCCATGCTATCAGAATGGCTCTCATGACTGAATGTGCCATTTGAAACAGGCTGTTTTTACTCTTTTATTTAGAAGAGTTCCAAGCATGACCACTAAGCAACGCATCGTAAACTGAAGACTACCTTGCACAGCAAATTTAAAGGCAAAGATATTTAAATATTTATAATCTAATTAACTCTGCAATAATTCTTTATTTATATCCCACCTTTTTTTAATAAGTAACTCAATGCAGTGAATATACACAATACCTCTTCCTACTCTTATTTTCCCCACAATAACCAGCCTATGAGGCGAGCTGGACTGAGAGTGACTGGTCCAAAATCAGCCCCAGAATATGCAATAGGTAATTTTAAAAAACAAAACAACAAAAACCACCTCCTACTGCATAATGTTCCATGAAACTGCAAATTTAACTCAGCACAAAGAAGTAGGCCAATAGCGTTCCGAGGAGACTTTGGCATCAGCCTTATATAAGGGGCAGGCAATCTTTCTGCTATCAGGTACAGTAATGCACTTTTTAAGAATTATTTTTGAAACCCAAGGTAACATTCCACGCTCCTGCAAAGAAACAGCTTTAGAAAACACCAGCACACCTCCGTTCATTTGTTCCCTGAATCTTGTGAGCGGCTCACCCTTTGGCATTGAAGCTGCTCTCTACATAAGGGATTAGAGCAGGGGTGTCAAACTGCCGGCCCACAGGCCGGATGCATCATGCCGAAACTGCGCCCACCCCATTGCCGGCAATGGGGAAAAAAAGTCGCGATACGTCGCGACACGTCACATGACGTTGCGAGTTTGACACCCCTGGATTAGAGGGACCACCTCCAACAGAGACCCCTGTATGGATGTAATAAACATTCTGTTCATGGAACAACTAGTTTCAGACGGTCCAATTCCAAATCAAGTATGTATATTTTAAAAGCTTTGAAACACAGATAGAATGAATCAATTCTGAGTATGGACTGAACCACAGTTGGCTTTGGCAGAAATTACTTGGGGAAGTAAGAATAGGAATAGGAGAATGCTAAAACAGCAGCAGCAGCTGAAGGGAAGAAGGAAGTGAAGATAGTGGGAAGAGCGGGTGAATGGGGCGGGGGGGGGGGGGGGGGGGGGGGGGGGGGGGGGGGGGGGGGGGGGGGGGGGGGGGGGGGGGGGGGGGGGGGATATGCTTGGCAGCTGGGAGCCTGTTCCAGACACCTGGGACCAAAGCAATAAAGAACAGGTGCAAAGGCCATATATGGACAGCATCCGAGAGAATGGACAGGCTGGAAAGACTGGGGGTGCTGGTGGGATATACGTGCTGATGGGGAGAAGAGAAAGAAGACACTGCAAAGATGGGGAGCGTGGGTTAGGACAATGGGCCATGCTAGGAGAACAGCAACAATGCAAGTTGCAGCTAAGGTGGAACATGATGGGGATATACTGAGCAAAGGAGAGAAAGGGGGGCAATGTTCATTAGCCTTGACCTACTTGCCCTTAAAATTGCTCTAGGACCTTCTAGATCAAGGGTCTTCAAACTTGGCCCTTTTAGGACTTGTGGATTTCAACTCTCAGAATTCTTCAGCCAGCGTGCCTGGCTGAGGAATTCTGGGAGTTGAAGTCCACAAGTCCTAAAAGGGCCAAGTTTGAAGACCCGTTCTAGATTTTGTTTCCTGCAAAACATGGAACAACTCCATTCTGAGTTCTGTTTCTGCCACACGACAACCAATCCAACGTGGTTCAGCAGAACGTCCAAAGTGCAATGGTTTGCTAGCAGTTTCCCATTTGTGCATATTCCTAAAACTAGACGCCTTTCCCGTGAACCTCTTTCTATCCTCTGGAAGAACAAGAATTCCAAATCAGGTTTCTTTGGCAGCCTTCACGAATAGCCAAGTCATCTGAGATCAATAGGATTTACATAGCATCCGCAGGACTGCAGGTTAAATAAAATGGTTGTCTGACCCTACTAAAAAGACAGTCTTAGGAATGAATGATAACTAGATGTGATGCAGTGTTATTCGCAGCATGTTTTATAGCTGTGCTAGTTCCAATGCTCCTCCAATTCCTCCCTGCTAAATGCTTTGCTACGGCCACCCAGATTAATCCTATTCCTTCAATCTGGTCTACTTTAATGTGTTGGACATTAGCAACCACTAGCTAGAATGCTGGCTGGGTAACGATGCCCCCAAATATCTGGGAACTGCAAGGTTGTGAAATGAGTTAATTTCAACAGTGCTCCTTTCTGATACTCACAAGGCCATCAGTAATGAAAAGCCAGCAATGTACAGGTTTCTTTGGGCCCGGAAGAGCTTCATATGAAAATGCTCCACTGCCCCAGGATTGTTCTGCAGGTTCACTTTCTCTGTCACATCATCGTATTTCCGGATCTCACGAATGGCATCTGCAAGTTATTGAGAAACAATCAAAGCTCTGAATACTTAAAATTCATTTGCAAATTCCAGCCAGTTTGTAGAAACACAGCTCAACATCCCTCGTGGCTTTTATATTTGTGTTTTTTTATTAATTATAAACACCACAAAATGGGGTGCCCAACAGATCCAGTTCACCAGCAGTGCAGATACTGTATACTTTAAACATGTTTTTAAGTTACTATAGTAGGGATCCACTATCCAATGGAACGGAGATGCAGAAGAGATCTGCTGATGCTAAACTACTATCATTTACTCCAAAATGCTTGCTCCTATCCCTTGCTGCCAAGAAATTAATCTCAGTAGCAAGGCAAACTAAGTTGCTGTTATTGCCACTTTTTATTATTCTTTGACTGTAAATCACAGTTAAGAACAAAATTATATTATTTCTAACTAGCTGTACCCAGCCACACGTTGCTGTGGCTCAGTCTGGTAAAAGCGTGTGTTGCTTTTACGTCCAACAGATGGCGCTGTTTTTTTAAAAAAAGCATGTTTTTATCTGTCACAGGTGTGACATCTATATAATATAGGTATATAAAAACACGCGCGTATTCAAATGCAACGTTGTTTCAAAATTTCAAAGCAATCGGTGAAGAACTTTCGGAGATTTAAGATTTTGAACAAACGAACATTTACATTTTTATTTATATAGATTGCTGGTTAGTTTTCTGAATTGAGACAGAACCTCACAGCCTTCCTGCAGACATCACCTTGCACCATTCTGCAAGCGGGCACTATTCTCGCAATCCTTAAAGGGCAGCCTCCTTAAAAGGAAATCTCCTAAAGGACTGCAAGAAGAACATCTGCCTTCAGAATGTGGCCAAGTGACCTCTGGAGAAAACCATGTCTCACACTGGCTGGGTGCATCTGTCAAAAGCTGCAGAAAAACAGAAAGGTTGCACACTCTGGGCCCTGGAGCTGTCCGAAGGCTCCCATGTATGGCTGAGTAAGAAGTAGGCTAAAGCAGGGGTCCCCGACCCCCAGTCCATGGACCAGTACCGGGCCGCAGCATGCCAGCAACCAGGGCGCACAAACAAGCCCCATCCGCAGGATGCAGGCAGCACACAAACCCTCCGGTCCCCAGAAAAACCTTTCTCCACGGAACCGGTCCCTGGTGCCCAAAGGGTTGGGGACCTCTGGGCTAAAGGGTCCAGGGTCATATCAGCTTCACCCATGCCAGTAAGCCCTGGAGCTGGCTAGCCCATAGCAGTTTCCACATGCCAGAGGCTCTGACTCTTCCCTGCCCTCCAAGGAAATTCGCCACTCTATTTAACAACTGCAACTGCATGATCCAGGACCAGGATTGCAGTTGTTGAATGAAATAAGTCATATGACATCTCACTTCACCTCACTCAGCGACAGAGATTCCAGGGGCAACTGTGGTCTTAAGTCGAGGACTACCTGTACTGCAGCAAGTTGTTATCCTTGTGAATTTTTGAAGGAAGATGAAACTCAGTTACTACTTCAACCTTTGTTGTGTGTTGGCATAATCTTAGGGTTCTGTTTAGTACTGAGCAGCACACTGCCTGTTGTGCTTTCTTCTCTCACTTTCAACAAGAGATTCCCTCAAGTCTTCCTCATTTCTAACCTTCTGGGCAGCAGCAGCAGCAGATCTGAGGCAGGGGTTGTTTCCCCCAGCAATCCTATTTCTATTTCTTCCAGATTTTCTCATATTATATTTTGCACGTAATTAAATAATCAAGCTTGGAACGCTCCTTTTCCAATTCTGAACCGTTCAGTTGATCTGTATATTTCATTCTAGTTGTTCCTTCCTAGTCATGAAATAAATTCCTCAATAAGCAGATGGGGTGGCTTAATACAGGTAGTCCTCAACTTACAACAGTTCATTTAGTGACCGTTTAAAGTTACAATGGCGCTGAATTAAGTGACTTATGACTGTTTTTCACACCTACAACCTTTGTAGCATCCCCATGATCATCTGATCAAAATTCAGATGCTTGGCAACTGGTTCATACTTATGACCGTTGCTGTGTCCCAAGGTCATGTGATCATCTTCTGCAAACTTGACAAGCAAAATCAAAGGAGAAGCCAGATTCACTTAACAACCTTGTTACTAACTTACCAACTGCGGCGATTCACTTAACAACTGTGGCAAGGAAGGTCGTAAAATAGGGCAAATCTCACTTAACAAATGTCTCACTTAACAGAAATGTTGGACTCAATTGTCGTAAGTCGAGGACTACCTGTATATCTGAGGAACCGTCTTACCCCAATGGGACTAGCCCACTCCACTCGAGACAGCGGACGTGGCCTGCTACGGATCCCGTCTCCTAAGGAATTCCAGTGGGCGGGATCAAAGGAAAAGCCTTTTCCATTTTAGCCCTGTGCCTATGGAACACTCTACCACTGGAGGTGAGGAATGATCCCATCCTTTTGGCCTTTTGGGAGGGTATTAAAACTTGGGTTTGCTGCTTGACTTGCCCCCCCCCCGGGGGAGCTCTCTACTGGAGGTGGTTGATGGGATAAGAAGACCTCATCCCTGTGCCATCCATCTCTTGATTTTTTGCACAATTTTAATATTTTATTTATTTTTCTACATGTCTTTTTATAATTCGTTAAGAGTTGCCTTATAGGGGAGATGGGCAGCATAACAAAATTAACAAAAAATAAAAATAATAAAATACTCCTGTTTTTAAGAGTTAGCTAT